TATGTATATATATATATATATATATATATATATATATATATATATATATATATATATATATATATATATATATATATATATATATATATATATATATATATACATACACCCATAAGATGCTGCAGGTTTCTATGGTATATAAAACATTTGTAAACAAGTCTATAGGAAAATCTTAAGCCTTATTGCAAAATTAATATTATTTTAGTTCCTAAGTAATTGATGACAAACACTTAATACACATTTACAAATATCTTTAACATATCTTTCATGCAAAGAAAAATGTAAAATGTCTTTACAATTTTCTAATTTATAGTTCTTAGAAATCCATATTTTAACATCAGAAGAAAAATTCCTCCATTTTTAGACTTGCAGAACATTATGTTGAGTGAAGTGTCCTACATATGTGCAAGATGACCAAAACTATTGCAATAATGTCTCCTCAGATGCAATGTGATTTCATACATTTTATTGTAAAATATGCCAATAGACGGGAAATTTTATAATCAGTTTTGTCTCAGATATTGGTCTGGGTTGGGGCTTTTACGATACGTCCTCAATACTCACCAACCAGGATGTCTACTAGTGATTTTCTCCTGATATCAATAATATACAAGTTAATTCTTTCTATTTTACTATTGATCTTGAGAATCACCACCAATATAAAATGTTTTATAAAACACTGATAATTTACTCAATATAATACTCTTGATATGCACAATGCTTGTTTCTTTCAAAACTGCACATACTTTTGCATAAAAATACACCACGAGTTGAAATGAAATCAAGACCATGAAATAATAAAGAATAAAAAAGTCGTCTAAAACTCACTGCTGTCAGGGATGGCATGTATGTACATGCCATGCCCACTGTGAGATTCATCTATTGACTGTGTTTGTAACCAGGTGGTTCCACAAGGAGTTAGTCACTATAGTCGTACATATCTCACCTGTTTATCATTTTCCTTGATTTTCAGAAATATTCTTTTTCATTTCATATTGCTATTATTGTTAATAACATTACAATAATCATAATATCAATAACAACAACAACAGCATTGCCATTAAAAGTGGTAGAAAAAAGAAACAATCCCAAAACCCTAGGAAAAAGGAAATTAGGTAAGGTCATGTAGGGCTACAAATCAACTCTTTGGTGACTGATAAACACTATGACTTTAAAGTAAACAGTTCAGCTTTATAAAAACAACATACGATCCATCAACATAAACAACTTACGGTGGACGTGTGATCTCTAAAGAACGATAGTGATGCCTAGAGTAGTGTGGAGGCTCGTCATGTAGAGAAGCTGCCCGTCGGAACACCCGGCTTTCTCTTCCGCTTCCACTTCGGGGGATGCCCACACCACCACGACGACGCTCGGGACTCTGTTGGCAAGGTTAACGCTTTTGTAAATCGGACATGAAAAGTGAATACTGAATAATAATAATCAAAAAGAAGAAGAGAACGGAGAAATACTGTTACTGTGGTTATGTTATCAAAAATTCAAAATAAACTCAACATTTGATAATAGTTAATGAGACAAGTGGCTGGGAATGATCCTAAATGGGATTATTATATATCCTTAACTTAAAGCTAATCACATAGTTAAAACTATGCCTGATGAGTATCTTAATTTTATGATTTATGCTTTATTTTACATGTTCTATAATGAGAAAGAGACAGAAAGAGAGAGAGAGAGAGAGCGAGAGAGAGAGAGAGAGAGAGAGAGAGAGAGAGAGAGAGAGAGAGAGAGAGAGAGAGAGAGAGAGAGAGAGAGAGAGAGAGAGAGAGAGACAGACAGACAGAGGAGGACAGCAAAGAGGGGAGATGAGAGGAGATACCGACAGACTGAAAGGAAGAAATCTCACTGATACCTGATCAGAGTCCAACTGGGACGGTGAGACTGAATTCTGCTGGTTTTGTTGATGCTGCTGCTGTTGCTGAAGGAGAAGCAGGATCTGAGCAATATCTGAAGTCACCCGTGCCTCAAGATGTTGCATTTGTCTGATGAAGAAATGAGGGGTAATTAGTATTTACATTGGTTATGTAAGTATAATACATAAGTAATCTCTATACATCTATGTATAATGACCTGTTGAGGGGATGGAGACTACAAAGACCAGTTGGAGATATATGATTTACCTCTTGATGCTTGGATATATGTAAATATATATACCTATGATTCCCAGATGAATATGAAAAAAATGGTTATGTATCAACTTCTGATTTGAAAATATAAATTAGTCAATATTAAAGCTGTGAAAAGACGGGAAATAGAGAGTTATATGATATAAAAAACTTTGATATTTTAAAAGCAAATACATGGGCAACATATTCAAACGGCAATAGGCTCAACAAAGTTTCCTAAGATGATGTAACTAAATTAACATAGTGAAAAATATTTTAGTCATATGTATCATAACCTTTTTTTTGAAAATCCAGTCTCCATTTTTATATAAAATAAAGTGCTGCCTAAGCATGTGAAATCATGAAATATATTAATGTTTAAGATATGAAATAGTAGCCAGAACTTGTCAAGATGGTCATCAAAACTCATGGTCTGCTTGGAATTTATGTAAAAGCAAATTTGAAATTACTTAATAATTAAGTATCTTGATGTATATGTGCAGTTCCAAATAATAGAATCATTTGTAATTATTAAAATTATAAGAATGATAAAAGCTAAGAATATCTTAAATGTCAAAAATTCTGTTAAAGTGATCATAAAGCAGACTTCAAGGTTTAAAATAAAGTTCTGCAGAGTAAGCACAGTTGTATATTTCAACTGAGTAAAGGTGTGATATAAAGCCCCCCAAATTCAGAATTCAAGGGAAGATCAACAAAATATTAATGGAGCACATAATGTGATGAAATTATGTGTAACTACTATTATAGTTACATAACATTTTTATTCTGCATTTATGCCTTTCTTCCCTAAGTAACTTCTCATACCATCTGCCATTCCATACGCTGTCATCCTTCAGGGTGGCAGAGGTATTCAAACATTGCACCATACCTGCTAAACTGGTCCATTCTAAGATACAGGCGAAGAACATCATCTTTAAAGTCTTGATCATCATCATCTTCATCCTCTCCTGTGTAAAATGGGAAGAAAATACGACCATGCACTAAAAACAAAAAGCAATATCAGAAAAGGCACAAAAGACCCAAAACGGCAATTCAAAAACAAATCACAAACAAAGTTCTTAGTCACTGTCATCCCACGGGGGATATGAAATGAATAAAATTCAATAGTGGTGTCTATCACCATGCACGAAGTTGACTGAATCCAGCTGTGATGTAGAGAAAAAAGAAAAATGTATCATGCACTGTTTGTGAAACCATAAAAGGAGACAAACAAGCAACTACAGGAAAACATATTAATCATTCCCAAAGATTTGTTCAGCTACTGACAAATACAACATCTACTCTTCAACAATTAAGACAAAGGTGGGTGACTTGCCCTTTATATTCTGATGCTATAATTTCTTCTGTATGCTGTAACTGGCTTCATTATTGCATTATATAACTATTCAACATTCTTTCTGTGTTAGAGACAAATTCGTTTGATTTAAAAAAAAATATACGTACTGCTATCAAAATATCTATCATTATTTTGAATTTATATCTAAAAATACAAATTTACTGATATACATATGTGATTGAGTTCTAGATGTCCTTCATATGACTATATTGAGTCTGGTTAGCCTACATAATCCAAAAATATAAGTATATCATAGTGTTTTATTCTGTTAAAGTAATACAGAATTATTAATTCTAATAATTACATATATAATTCATAAGTTGGATATCATATATTATATCGATCTAGTTTTGGATAATATACACTACAACTGCATATGAAATTAACCACAGATGAAAGGTTCAAGAATCTTGGCGAAAATTTTCACCAAGTTGACACTATTCTTCGCTCAATCTGGCTAATAATTTGTAATAGATACACAGTAACTTACATTTTGCTAATATATATATACATATACATATATATATATATATATATATATATATATATATATATATATATATATATATATATATATATATATATATATATATATATATATATATATACATACATACATATATATACACACACACACATATGCAGTATACTATATGCAAATCAATCAATCTATCTATCTTTCTTTATATTTACAGATATAAAATACTGGTTTTGTATTTTTTTTCTATTTTACTATATTTTTAACTTTCTGGAGCAAAACCATATACCATAGCTGCACTATTAAGCTCCAGTTAATTTCAACAGTCATTCTTAAATTGTCACTGTCCTTTTACTTAAAACAAATATGTAATTTTCTATTTATTCTGAATACCAATTTGCTGAAATTTAAGTTAACAAGGGCAAGTCATGTATTTCCTAAAATTCTATACAAAAAAGTGCATATCACAAGAATGATACAGACATTAAAATACAAAAAAAAGAAAAAGAAAAAGAAAAAAAAATACTGTTTACACAAGCAAGGAAAGACATACAGTACAAGGAGCTAGTCAGTAAGCGGCATCTACCTGGTGAGCGCATCTAGGCGGCAGTTGACCTCTACGACATCACGGGCATGTGTTTGGGCGGTGTTGGGGTGACCCTCAACAGGTAAGGTCAAACTGGAGTGACGGGCATGATGATGACGTCGCTCAGGACTGGTACTACCTGCAACTAGCAGGTCATACAGGTTTATATAGGTTTTTGACTAGGCTGGATATGGCTATGGCATAACGAATAGGACTGGCTATACCATTATTCTACATCTGTTAAATAATAAAAAAAAAGAGTAGATCAATATGCAAATGATTCTACTAGAATTATGTTAAGATTTTCACTTCTTATATATGCACACAGAGCAATAAGGGATATCAGGAACTCACTGATAATAAGTATAACCAAGATAAACTAGGGTACATTTAAAGGAATGAAATAAACAAAAGAAATGCAAATCAACCCATACAATTTTTCTTCTTTGAGGGCAT